AGGCGAAGTCTGACTTGTTCAGATTTCGCAGTGGAAACAGCGCTGGAGGGGTCGTGTTCAAACTAGCTATGTGTGGGCTAGCGGCATACTGCGCTGCTATCAAACACTCAGAAACCATGGTTTACTACTGAAAAGGCATTATCGTCGCCACGGAAAGCATTTTACCTTGGCAATCTTGTAGTACAATGAGTGGGGGTAGGGCGTATCTTTAGGGGTTCCCCATAGTCATATGGGAGGACCATATTTCCATCCTACTGTTGCGCTCACGAATTATTCCTTAGGAGGTTCTGTTCTTTTGCAAAAGAGTATGCGATTCATCAGGAATCTCAGGATATGCAATAACGCCATTTTATATGATTTTTTTCGTCCTTCTCTCCAGAAAATGTATTTCAAGTTTTTTTTCCTCGCTTCAGCTTGTTGTTGGTTTCTCATGTGGTGAAGATACTGTTGTAACATTTATCGTATGCGAAGCACCAGCCACATGTGTAAACAAGGTGAAAAATAATAAATGAATGAATTATTTCTATTCTTTATTCTTATTTTTCTCTTATATCTATATCTTATCTCTCTTACTCTTTTTAACTTTTGTAAATATTGCCGAATGTTTTTAATTGCTTTTCGATATTTATCTATGTTTTCGGTTTGTCCCTCTTTTGAGATACTTTTCCACCTAGGGTACGGGTCCAATCGCGGATTTATTTTCCCGTCGGCTGCACTGGCGAAACATGTTGCCAAAGAGATCGCTTCTTTCGGTGCCGTCCACACCAACAATGTAATTCTTTCTGTTTGAAATCTTGAAATAGCTTTTCATCAGATTCTGCCACGGTTTAAGGTCTAAGTTCTTACCTTGTAACCGAGTTTTATCCCCTAAACACCAGCTTTACGCTCACCTTCAAGTGCGGTTCTTGCCTTATGCGAGAAGAACACATGGGGTAGTTATATAAAGCTATTCAATTCTTCGTGGGACTTGCTTCACATTCCGCTTCCGCTTAGAACCCTACTGATCTTCTTAAACGATTGCGATTGAGCTTATGCTGTTTTTAATCTCCCAAACTAATATGGTATTAGCCCTGGAGTGATAAAGGTTTTGTTTGCTTGAGTAAGACCACGTGAGGTGAGGTGTGGGCCCTGTGAGTTAAAAAGCAAACGACCTTCCCTCCTTATAGTGTCGTGCAGTCTTAAAAGATTCGTCGGGAGGACAAGAAGATGCCTTAATCACACATTCCTCGGTAATTAGATAGGGGAGGGATGAGAAGGAGGGGCATCAGTAAAGAGAAGGGGTTCAATAAGGAATGGAAAACCATCAGCGGATTCGTTTCTGATGCCCCATTCGCCTTCTTTACCGTGTATCAGAGAGAGCGTGCACTAAGGAAGCGGGGAAGCAAAACCGTTACAAATATCCACTAGTTTGTTGTGGATTGTGCCTTTATTTCGCCATAATCCGCCTTTTCTGGAATCTGCAGTCGGAAGTATAATACTGTAGCAAATCCTACAGAATTACTGTGCTTCAAGAAATACTTCGCTCGATTGCTTCGAGAAATATGAAGCACTTCTCTGCTTGATCAGCGGTAAACGACGGTCGATACGATCCTGGCCAGAGTTCGAATGCACGGCGCATCATAGTATAGGCTGTGCACTAGCACTTCATTCTTAACCATTTTACTGAATGCGAGTAGGAGAAGAACCATGGCATGTTTATGTCGCCTAGGAAATCTGGCGTATTCCTGCTTTACTTTCGTTGTTAGATGCTGCACGTCATCCGTATTTTCTTCAGGTCTCCTTGCAAAGTGCACAGCGGCAGAAAGGCATCTAAGAAAGAACGACCCTTTTACTGCCACTCATCTGTCGATGATTGCCCTTATGTGCGGCCACTAGCGGCTCCTTTAGTGACGGCTCAGATCATCGCTGCGTTTCTTTATGTTGTTAAAAATCATTACCGAATTTACCGTATTCTTGTTTTATAAAACCTTGGCCGTACACCCTCTGTGCTGCCCTTGGTCAATAAGCTTGTGTGTAGCATTCTGTTAGTGGCCTAGAGTTCACGATCGTAGAGTGAAACCCATCAGAATGGTCATATTTGGGGTTTCCTAGATGAATAATCGTACTGCGCTTAGATGGAGGGGGGGGGGGAAGAGGAGACCAAAGGCCTCCATTTGACACCTTAAAACTGGGATGGATCAAAATGGGATCACTCAAGGAACAATCGTGTTTGATCTGGTTCAGCTCCCCCTCTCCCTCCTCAATCCTGTGCAGAATATTCGTATCCGTTACGACAATTCCAGTTCCACAAGAAGTCATTTCAATGCCCTCGCAAACTTAGTAGTGCCCGCGTTTTTCTCGATTCTGAATTCACCTTTGGAGGTACGACATTCCGCGATAAACTAATACAACCTCTCAAATGTGTCAGATGATTCGGTAGGTTACTATGGAGGCTGCGCTACATTTAAAAAGCGAACATGTACAAGAATTTCGCTGCAAGCTGAACAACTAGGCCCATTACCACTCCTTATGCCCACCCCCAACTGGTAGCTACTAGCTAGTAGCCTCTCTGCTAGTTCTCTTCATTCCGAATGGTGAGAGTGAGATGATAAGGGAAAAGAGCTGATATCCCAATGATAACAGCGAGTGAAAATTCGTACAAACACGGCTTCTTTTCCTTGTATGGAATGACTTGGGATTGACATAAGCCCTATATAGATAGGTTTGGTTTTCTCTGCTTTTTTCTCCGTTCAGTTACCGCGAGTATTTTCGTTCGTAATTTGAGCTCCATTATCCACCATTCGTGGTCGCAGGCTTTGCCTTTATTATTATTGCGATCATAGCGTACCTGTGACAGCGTCCTCATATTAGGTTGGCGGGAAAGTTCTGTCACATTTTTCAAATTAGGCTTTCTTTTTATAGAGAGGAGTGTAAGATCAAAATTGTACAGCAATGTTACTGCGGGTCCTTGCCAGTTTTTGAGCACCTCAGGACATCGTCTCGATTTTGACTTGCTCTCGGGTCGTGAAGCTTTCCTCGTCCATATAATGAGTAAACGGCGAAGACAACTAGCTGTTTGAAGGAGCAATGTCTGGGCTACACCGGTATAAGGAGAGCCATCCAGCTCTATTGCATGAGGTACGGCTCGAACTTTTTTGGACGGAGTGCGCTGCACTATCATGATGAGGGCGGGCTGTGCGGACAAATTTTTCCCTCTGATCGACGGTACGCTTTGGATGAAGTTGTTCTGCTTACGCATTGACCGAAGAAGCAGCTTCTTCATCCAGCACTTTCACGCAGCTCCCTCAATCTGAGTTCACAGGTAACCCAAACCTCTTCGTCATCAAAACTGTAGGCTCCCGCTTTGAAGCATTAGCGTCGTGGAAGGTCCGATAATTGAGGGCATCGTCCTTATTCAGCTCCATTATTTTGGCATCTGCAGCTATCATGCTGGCGTCAGGGTGGTGGAAGAAAGAGTTTGAGGAAGCGCTTGGAGGGGTCATTGCCGATGGGAGCGGGGAAAGTCCTTGTCCGAAATTGCAGAAGAAGAAGAAGAAGAAGAAAAAGAAGAAGCAGGAGTCAAGCGAGGTACTAGTAGAAAGACCACTCCTTGATGTATAAGTGCTCACATTACCGGTTACCCCTCTTCAGGTAATGGGCAAGTATTTTGATTCGAAAAAGTGTGACAGAACTTTCCCGCCAACCTAATATTTGATTCGTTGGCAGAACTGAAGAGACAGATAGAGCGTTTTGTTCGAGTTCATCGCTCAGTTGTCACGACCATGTGGGTACATGAAACCGACAAGGTTGACGTGAACGGCTGTTTCGAAATTTCATTTGTTGACTTATCATACGTCATTGCTTTCCTCCTAGTGATACGGTAGATAAGCGATCTCAGCGGAATTGTGCTGGAAGTTTGTTTGTGAACATGAGCTGTGCCTAACCTGCGAAAAAGGGCTTGGCACCATCGCGATTTTTCCAGGTTTTGGTTTCTTGCTTCACTGGTTATGGATCCGCTGCTCTTCAGGTGCATGCAGGAGCCAACATTTCGTTACCATGTCGTTTTTTTTTTTTTTTTTTTTTTTTTTTTTTTTTTTTTTTTTTTTTTTTTTTTTTTTTTTTTTTTTTTTTTTTTTTTTTTTTTTTTTTTTTTTTTTTTTTTTTTTTTTTTTTTTTTTTTTTTTTTTTTTTTTTTTTTTTTTTTTTTTTTTTTTTTTTTTTTTTTTTTTTTTTTTTTTTTTTTTTTTTTTTTTTTTTTTTTTTTTTTTTTTTTTTTTTTTTTTTTTTTTTTTTTTTTTTTTTTTTTTTTTTTTTTTTTTTTTTTTTTTTTTTTTTTTTTTTTTTTTTTTTTTTTTTAATCCCCCCCCCACTTGTAAGCACCATATGAACAAAGAAAGTGGTAAAATGGAAAATAGTAAAATTACTAACTGATCAGCTGAACCGAACCCACTTCTCTTGAAGAAGGTTCGGTTCAGTTGATCAGCATGGCGTATTCCGTAAGGCATTGATCATAACTGAACAATGCCTTACGGAATACGCCATGCGTTCGACCTCCATTCAGAACAGTCATGCCAAGATGATAGAAGGTATTTGTGTGCATGCGGTCTTTATGTAATCGTGAAGGCGTATCGATGTCCAAATCAGTTTTGCAACCATCCAAGATGATTAGGGTCCAGCCCCATGGCATGGAAGATATGGTTGGAGACTTTACATATCCGGAGTTTGTCCCATGAACCATAGTGAGATAGAGCCTTTAACTGCAAACACTTTACCAGGTGTGTCTTTCATTGATGACCATTTCATTTGAAAATGCCATTTCATTTGAAAATGGTTAGGGTAAGGAAAGCACGTGTGAGAAAAGCAATGGTAGAAGTGACTCCGCCCACACGATCAGTGCGGAATATAGTATTAAGCTACCCGCAGTTTTTCGTTAAAACATACCTCCTTATTGCATCTTTCTCGTACGTTTTCGATAGTATGAGCTTTACTTGGTGGGACTGATTTTTTTATCCTACTCGCAGATGAATGGATTGTTCAATGGCACATCGGTGAAAAAGTTGCTGGGATGGCGGATTGGCGAAGAAGAGGAGAAGTTCGCCGAAAAAGCAGTGGAAACACTGGTGAAAAAACTGAAAAAGAAGAATGGAGGAGTTGGTAGGTTACAGTAGCCTATTGAGGACAGTAGAAGCACTGCTGATGCCGCTTTTAGGTACGTTGGAAGATCTGGAGTACGCGTTGGCTCATCCAGGATCCCACTCAAAGTGCGTAGCTCTGCCGAAAAGTCAGGATGGAAGGTTGCAGGTCGGTCAGCCAACCTTCATTCCAGATGAAGATTTGGCTTGAAATGGGGAGATCGTTTAGGTCTCGCACCGAAAAGGTCTACCGCATGTGATTTACTGCCGCGTATGGCGTTGGCCAGATTTGCAGTCTCATCAGGAGCTGAGACCGATTCCCGAATGCCTTTATCCACATGATCATAACAACAAAACGCCATACGTCTGCATCAATCCCTATCACTATCAGCGTCTTGATCCGACACGAGTGGGTTTCCAGGAAGCTCTTTCTTTTGGTCTCCTCATCTCATCTCATCCTTTCAGGGTGCCCGCTTCAGCTACTCACCACCGATTTCTTCCCCCGCCGGTTGGTCATGCTTTTCCATACCTATTTGTCCTGCCACTCCTTTTCAAGTTGTGAGCTATTGTGCTTTAGTGTCAACTGCTGGCTCTTCACCGTCATGCTCAGGACGGATGGATATGACATCACCGTCGAACATCCCATCGTCATCCAGTTCACCTGAATATGAAATGGCGTTCAGCCCTTCGTCTATGCTGTCTGAAGAAGATGGAGCCAGAATGGAGCAGGTAAGGTGATGTTAACCAGCTGGTTTCCTCTTCGAGTACCCTGAAGCTTGGCCATTTTCAAACGGGCAAAAGAGGGTCAAATTTCATTACACCTAGATAGCTCCCTCTGACAACAGTATCACCTACTATAAATAATTTGCTTCGTCTGTTTGTTTGTTTGTCTGTCCGGAAATTCGGTTCTACCAGAAGAACAACTTGGAGAGGTGGGTCAAGGTGGGGATGGGTAGGGCATGGGGCAAGATGTAAATAGCACCCGTGACCCATGGTAAGCCCCGCCCACAGTGGGCGGGGCATGCGCCGAAAGTTGGCGGAGCCGCAGAAAAAAACTCATAACTCGCTTCCAGAGCAGCCCAGAGATGGGGAAAAAGTGGAATAAGGTTAGCAAGGGTTGTCGAACCAATTAGGGGAGACATACCCGAAATGGGCGGGGCGTCTTGAGATAGGCGGTGCTTCCCGAGAAATTCATTAACTCGGTTCCCGAGAGAGTTTAGAAATCGCAAAAAAGTCGGTGTAGGAGGGCAACACCTGGGGAGAGTTCGGCATGCCTGAGGTGTGTTGAGACCCGCCCACAGTGGGCGGAGCTTAGAGTGCACATTCAAAAAATTTGTAGCTTGGTTCCAGAGCACTCCAGGGGCGGAAAAAAGTGGATTAAGGTCAGCAAAGGTCACGAATGAAATTTTATCGCACACATGTTGTGGCTGTAACAGTCCATGGGCGAACAGAAAGGTCTGCCAAACGTTCCAGAACACTGCAGGACCGCGAAAAAGTGAGGAGGTTCAGAACAGGTCACATGAAAAAAGTATGGTGCCACCATGTTTGCTGGGTGCCAGCCCATGAGGTGGGGGGGACGGGAAAAAAGATTCTGTAAACACGGAAGGATTAAGGATGACCACGCTTTGAGCGGTATAACAGCCTTGTAGCTAAAGTCTCGGAGCCAAACGCAGAAATATAGAGTGGTTCCATAACACACTCCAGGAACCGACAAAGACGAGCAAAAACGTGCAGGAGCTCCGCTATTGAAGTGAGATCTACGCCACTCTTCGGATCGGTCAGATGTTGTGGACGGGCGAAGTCAGAAATTCGCGCAATTAGTTGCAACAGCAGCATAGGCCACCGACAGAGCTGAGAAGTTCATCTATAGTGAAGTCACGGACGAAGTGCGGAGGACGCATTCACAAATTTGTATGGTCATGCGCTTTTGAATTCATGTCTACAGCTGTATACTATGCCTGAAAAAGTCCTTCTGTGAGTTCCACTGAGGTGATTGAGAGATCAAGGGAAAAGCTGTGAAGAGAAACATGTGGCGAGAGTTCAGAGTCTGGGATCTCGTTTACTGAGCTACCATCGCCAAACAGTGTCAGTAGAAGCAGATACCTCGCAAGCACGTGACGCTTCTACCGTTTTTGAGGGCATAGCCGCGCCACACTTCTGAACACACTTGTTGCACTGACGTACAGTTTGACACCAGACGCGTGTCCTGACATTGCTGACTGGCTGACCACACTCCTATGTCTAATTGCGGCCAGGCTTTCGTGCCGGGTTAGTACCTTACACGTTGATAGTGCCACCTTAGCTGCGTAGTTATAAGAGCTAACTAACACCGGTTCTCTCTCATCTTCGCATGTGTAACAAGCGGGCGAGCGTGAGGGCGGCTGCCAGCTATGGAGATAATATGCTTACGAAAGTAGTTTGTCTGAGTTGTATTGCTCAAGATGAGCGCATGGACTATGTTTACAGAATTGAATAAAAGCGCTGGAAGACTAAGAATGAGTTGTGTTCAGGTCGTGTCGGTCAAGGAAGTTATTTGAAAGGTGCGGCGTGTTATGCGCACGTCGCGACGAACGCGCCACCTTACAAGTCTTGCCTAGTCTGCTGCGACGTTTAAGTAGAAGTGCGGCTGTCGCCAGAGGTTAAGCTCAAGGATCGGAGAACGTGTGAATTTCTTACAGTCGGATTCGTGAATTTCAGGCGCATCACATTTCGGGACAGGTTTCTGACAAACTCGATGTAACGGGAACGGCCCAAGAATATCAATAGAATTCTTAATTTTTGTTTATCCAGCAGTCCTTACCACCTTCAACAGCCGCGCTTGACTCAGTACTCGGCAACTTCAGTGTATTATAAGAAAATAAAATCTAGCACCGTCGATGCGAATTGATATTCAAATTAACTCTAGTTTATTAGCTCAACCTTCCACAAGAAAAAAATGGAGGAAGATCTCCGCTGAAAAGACGTCAGACGTCACTCGCTGCTCTGTACTCTGACAACCGTGATTTAGATCATTATACTCTCCTTGCGTCCCAGAAAGGAAATGTCGTCATTGGGTCACTATATATTTGATACAGTGACATGTGGATAAGGTTTTCGTCGGGGTAGACCAGTCGGTAGGCAGCCATCTCACTGATTTGTGCCAAAAAACGGGTGTTTACCATATTGTTCCAACATCCTTAATACCCCTTCAAGAGCGTTTGCGTCCTCTAATCTAATGAATTATGAGGCACGACCTCATTCCTTCGGATAATTCATGTCTCGAAGTATCAACCGCAAATTTTGTAGTCCGTCGATACTAAAAAGCACTGTGGAGTGAATCGACCAGCTAAGTAGTGGTCCTCAGTAAATTGCTTTTGATCTGGTTATAGAGAACCATTACTATATTCACTCATTTTGTGTTATTCTAGGCATGCAATATTTAATCAGAATCACTTTTTAGCTTTGACTTACCTTTGTTGTAATCTTTCTTTTGCCGCTCTATAGAGTGCAAAAGACTTCCCACTCTGTGTCTAATTCTTTTTGAGGGCTTACAAAGAATTGATATTAGGGATTTGAAATTAACCTAATTACTGATAACAGCTGTAGTATTTATGTCTACCTGTCTTCGACTCAGCCCATAGAATATGAATCTGAAAATCCTACCTCGAAACACTCGGCGCATATTGGGAAATGGTATTTAAGCATATATGAGATATTTGACTCATCTCAAAGGCATTTAGTTTTCTCTTTCATCAATTTCAGAGAAAAAATGAGCATCGTATGATTTCTTTCTTTTCTCGCATCTTATACTAGTATCTGGATCTCACTCTCCAGAGATGTGATATAAGACTTGAAATGATCACGTTAATCCGTCTAAAGAATGCATATACATCTTTTTCTACGTTCAGATGATACTTGGAGTAGGATACATGCAAACAAACTACACGGTCAACTACAAACAAAGCTTAGCAATCATGGACTGTTCCCAAGTTTATGAGGAAGCCAAACTGTTTTTTATGAGATATGAAACCCTTCTGACTTCGTTGTCATGGAGTCAAAAACACAACTGCTGCTACCGCCTTTTGAAGAATCAATGCTGTCACTACCGAATGAGTCATCATAATTCGCCTATGAAAACATCTAAAGTTCACAGTAATCATTTTTTCCAAATCCACTTGCAGAGGTCTAGAGAGGGAGTGAAGGACTATGTAGCAAAAACTAATCAAGCTATTGGGCTCGGTTTGATCTAGACTTTACTCTGGGCTTATTCTCTGACAGCGCTAAGCTAATTCATAATGTAACGTATCTGTGAGGATCAGTAAACTTCCTTCACAGGGTCCAACTTGCCTCATAACTCACCATAAGGCTGACTTACACTGGAAAGCGACAGAGGTTCTAACCGGGGCGGAGAGGGGTTGATGAAACCGTGCTGAGATCTATCCAGAATCCTTCTGAACGGACTGATTTACCCGCAATGGTTCTATCCTTCGACGCGGCGGCTGGTATCCGTATGTGACACTAGACCACTCATCCAGTATTTTTCAGGTCCAAACTACTCAACGGTCCCAAGGTGCGTTTAGAGTTGCACGATAAATCCCCCAAGTACGACTAGCGATCAACAATGTTCTCTCATGCCAGAGTTGCATCACCGCGAAGGCTCTGCAGATAAATTCCGCGACCACTGGACAGATGCATGCATATCGCGTTTGCCACCGAAGAAGTGCCTCATAAGTCGCCCCCACAAATGCGACCGACTCCTTACGTCTAACTCATTTTCATTGCGAAGCAAATATATAGCGAAGGGAATTGGATCAATGACCGCCGTGATGGCATGTACTAGACGGGTTCGCATAAATGCAGCCGTATCTTCGGACCGTGAAATGTAAGATGCCTCCCGTGTAACTCGTCTCTCGATAGTGTTTGCGCTCCTACCAGTTCGATTTCCCTAATCATGGAACGGAAGCAACAACAGCTGGCATGGAACCGGGGGGCGCCCCCCGTCCCCTATTCTGAGACGCCCCAGCGTTTGCAGCGTAAACAATTGCACATAATTGCTCAGGTACTTGTTAACGCCGAAAAGTAGTGTATCATTTCTTTTGAGAGCGTAACGGAATGAAATAAGTAGTTGGAGATGTTATTGCGCATTCGTTTCACATCCCCGACATTTTCTTTCAGGATCAGCTCTAGTGTATTACGACGCGACTACGATCTCTACTCATATCGAAATTCATCTCCAATCACTATTTCGTGCAATCGCCGAATCCGTATAACCATTAACATGATCAGGAGCCGGCCACAGTTATTAGGTTCCGCCTCACATTTCCGCTATCTGTGTTCAGCACACATTGCCTTCCAAACAGTAGTCAGTCCCACTAAAAAGCCTTCTAACTGATCTATCACGATAGTTGTCATCATTGCAATGTGCATACACGCCGGAAGTCTGCGAGGTCAACTCCCGCTCTCTAGATCCTTGAAAGATTTACAGCTCTGCAGAAATCAAATAGTGCTGCTTCATACGACTTCAATTCGTTGAAAGTAGGATTTCAGCTTGGGGAGGCTTCGGAACTTGCTTATTCTACAGAGCGGCTTTACTCCCCCTTATCCCCCTTTTTAGCTGATCCATATAACGTCTTCCTACAGAATATGTTCGGAAATACTCTAATGCTTCCGTGACGATTTCTCCCTTTGCTTCCTTCAGTTCCAATTTATTCGTGCATGAGGAATTCGAAAGAACTGAGCAAAGTGGAGCATTCCGAAGA